GAGAACAGTCTTAATTCCACACATATTAGTTTAGCATTTAATATTAAAAGATTCCGAGACATTTTGTATTACGACAATCAACACATGGGGACAATGATTCAATGAATGCTATAGAACCTTAAGCAATCTGCTAGTTTTCGTCCCAAACAACGAGATAGGTAAAAAGAGAAGAAGTTATGATTAAAACAAAGAATGAGAACTAAATATGTCAAGTGGTTACAAGCTGATCTGGTCCCCCCACAAGAAAAAACCTACGACTTATATTTGAACTCATAGATTACATTTTAAAATTATTTTTAGGATAGGCCAATCTCTGTTTTCATAGTCATAGGATAGGCTAATCTTTGCTTTTTTTAGTCATAAGATAGACCAATCTTTATGCTTGCATGTGTTTTTTTAAGTAAATATTCAGACACACATATTATTAGAGTCCTTGAGTTCCACCAAGAGACGAGGAAAGAACATATTACTCGATACACAAGCATCATTAACAAAAGTCAAAAACAAGTTTCATTGGATCCGCATTAGAAAAGAAACAAAAAAAGAAGCAGAAAGTTAATTGCATGTTGGACATCTTTTTTGCTTTTAGTTATTTCCAATAAGAAATACTATTTGATATTTATTATCAAACACTCAAACCAGTGACAAAATAATTTACCTATACATAAATTAATTGGACACGTATATAATTGTAGGTCTTATATATATGCGAAGTCCACATGACATGTATATTTCATATCGAGGAGCGTAAGGGTAGGAATCAACTCTCATCTTCATTCAATATATTTCATATCGAGGAGCCCTTTCTCGTTTTTAAAGTAGTGGTAAGAAATTAGGTCTAGTTTACAAAGTTTAGAGCATGTAAATATTAATCGATCTACTGTGAGATAGATCTATACATGTTATGTTCACAGAAAATTACAAGTTGAAGCGCCTAGTAAATTTTAAACAATATTTATAAGTTGATTTTTTTTTTTTTGAATGTTTCATAACAGTAGAATAAATGTTTTAGCAACCCCGAATGAACTCTACCAATTAAGGTGGCTGAGCCGAAACTTTTGATCGTATCTCAAATGATTTTAGAACAAATTAAAGCATCTTGAACACACAATTTTGAATGACCTTTATAAATTCATATCATGTCACTATATAAATCATGTTGCTCAAAGGTGATTTAAATCTTGGAATGTTTTGTTAAGACACTGAACCGGTAACTTGGTAATTTCATAAAATAAAATAA